AGCTCCGGGTGGAGGGCAGGCCGGCGCCTGGGGCGAGGGAGAAGACGCTCAGGGCTCAAAGGACTTGCGACAGCAGCCTCTAGCCCGGCTCGCTGCCCGGAGGCCGGGATTCACCTGCGGAGCCAGACCTGCCCCGGGGCCACTGACTGGCTGCCAGACGGCGAGAGGGACGTCACCCCCAACCTCCGCAATCTGATGTTAATTTCTGTAAGAAAAGCACTTTCTCTAGCTCTCGGGTATAAAGTGTTATTACTGTTATTAAGGAAAACAATGAGCTGGGCGTTGGTGACACACACCTTTAATCCCAGCACTAGAGAGGCAGAGGCAGGCGGATCTCTGTGAGTTCAAGGCCAGCCTGGTCCCCAGAGCGAGTGCCAGAATAGGCTCCAAAGCTACACAGAGAAACCCTGTCTCGAAAAACCAAAAAAAAAATAAAAAAAAAAAGGAAAACAATGTCTTTCCTGCTACTAGTTGGCAGTGGTGTTTTTGTGTACTGGCTGGCTTCTCAACCGGTTACCCCTTTTAACTTTACTTAGGACGAGGGTGACTAGTAAGCTTTATATGTTATTACTTAAAAGTATAGAGTTTGGAACTAGTGTAGTGGGATTTCCTACAAGCTATGAATACTTGGACACCTAAATTTTTGAGCTTTGGTTCCAGTCCCTGCCAAATTAGTTCCCAAACTAGTATCTTCTAAGAGAAAATACCTAATAAAAAGCTTTGGACCATGCAGTGCAAACCACTGCTGATGGCATTTTTGTGTTATCACATTAAGCTTATTTATTAAATTTTTTTTCAAAGCCGGGCATTGGTGGCGCACGCCTTTAATCCCAGCACTCGGGAAGCAGAGGTAGGTGGATCACTGTGAGTTTGAGATCAGCCTGGTCTACAAGAGATAGTTCCAGGACAGCCTCCAAAGCCACAGAGAAACCCTGTCTCAAAAAACCAAAAAAAAAAAAAAAAAAAAAAAAAAAAAAAAAAAAAATCATACAATATATTTTGGTCATATTTTTTCCTCCCAGATCCTCCCCACCTTCCTAATTTTCTCTCTCTCTTTGCTTTTATTGAGACAGGTTCTCACCATGTAACACCGACCTGGCAAGAACTCCATGTGTAGAGCAGGATGGCCTTGAATTCACCAGAGTTCTGTCTGCTTGTTTCTACCTCCAGACTGCTGAGATTAAAAGTGTGCACCACCATGTGGTACAGGACCCAAAATTAATATTCTTTTCACCACTAAAAATATAAAACACTAAAGAGATTAACCCTTTGTTCAGATGCGAGAATATCTAGGCTGGAAACTGGCTCCACCAATTTATTAGCTATAGTTGCCCAAGTAGAGGGAACCTCTCAAGGGCCACGGTTCCTCATTCCCTTCTTCTTTATGAGGGTTAACTAAATGAATATTCAATTGTTACAGGGCCTCTTTCCATCCTAGAAGAACCCATACAGTGCTTTTGGACCTTGTCCTTTTCAAGAAAACGAAGCCCACAATTACTGCCTGAATTCAGAAGACATCTAAAGATCTACAAAGGAAAGCTGACAATGCTCCTTTCCTAGAGATTCTTCAGCAAGGATGGTCAAAACAAGACCTTTACTTAGGACCAGAATGTCTGTTATCTTGAGTTCAGTCAAAGTAGAACTCCTCTCTCAACTCTAAGCCCAAATAATGCGCGAGAGCACACACAATTTGTCATTTTATTTACTTTTTTTGGGTTTTTTGTTTTTAGAGACAGGGTTTCTCTGTAGCTTTGGAGGTTGTCCTGGAACTAGTTCTTGTAGACCAGGCTGGTCTCGAACTCACAGAGATCCGCCTGCCTCTGCCTCCCGAGTTCTGGGATTAAAGGTGTGCGTCACCACCGCCCGGCACCATTTTATTTACAAAAGTAAATTTTTTTTTAAGATTTTTTATTTATTATGTATACAGTATTCTACCTGCATGTTTGCCTGCAGGCCAGAAGCGGACACCAGATCTCATGATAGATGGTTGTGAGCCACCATGTGGTTGCTGGGAATTGAACTCAGTTCCTCTGGGAGAGCAGCCAGTGCTCTTAACCTCTGAGCCATCTCTCCAGCCCCCAAAAGTAAATTCTTTAAAACAAAATTTTTAAATGTGGAATGTGGCAGTGCACACCTTAAGTCCTGGCAGAGGCAGAGGCAGGAGTTAAGTTTAAGGCTGTGTGCAGATGAGCACTAGGGGGACTGGAATGTTAAGCAGTCAGGGGTTGTTCTTCAAGAAAAAGAATGCAATACCTATTGCCTGCTCAGAAGGCTGAAGCAGATGTGTTTCCTAGCCTGGTGACCTCTTCCATATCTGTGTGGCCAGAAGATTTTTCCCAGCACTGGACCCATCCCCTAACCAATCTATAGAATCTATCTTTATGTCCTTTACAAAGAATTTCGATGTAGTAATTAATGCCTGATCTGTATGTAGCTTACTTTGCTCCTCAAGGAGACTTAAGTATGCTTTGTTGTGTACACAGATTGAGTTAATTATCACCAGGATAGTTTTCACTGAATTGTGCTGCACCTGTATATGCCTAAAATAAACCACTTGAAGTCAGACCCTAGAAGTTTGAACCAACACAGGTTACAGAGTCATGC